CATTACCTTCTGATCCGGCAAAAACTCCTTCACATTAGTTGGCATTGGAGGCATAGAGGAAGGTACGTTAAGCGCCAAGTAATAACCATTTAACTCTCCCTTTTCGATAGCTACCAGAGGAGAAGTGCTCGTTGGTAGGGTAATCTAAACAATTTTAGGTGAATGAGATGGATACGAATTTAGTATGCAAAACCTTCATAATTAATGAAAAACCAACCTGTTTGAGTAACTCCATGGCCGTTTCTATCGATCCATTAGCAAAGTGGAAACGAAGTAATTCGAACCGACACTAAATCCAGGTAAATTCGATGTACAGGAAAAGTGCTTTTAAAGTTGCATCATTTTAGAACAAGTGCAACTGATAAAAACTTCGCCCTTTTTCGAGAAACTTTGGCAAGACCCTCACTTCTTGATGATAGGTTGTCCCAAGAATGATGAAGGACTTCCAAAAATGTTTATGTCTGTCCTTAGTATAACGAAAATTTTTTTAGTTGTCACTAATTTTTAGCAGATACTAAAACTTTGCTTTGCCAGGCCTATCGTGGATATTCTGTAAGTGGAATTATGACAGTAACAACTCCAGTTTAAAAGCTAAATTTAAAATGTTGAAATGTGCTCAGATAAAGTGTTAGAAATCGAGGTCAACATAGAAAGACTTACATACAAAGAACACTGCCGATTTAGTGTCATTTATCGCAAGAGTTTTCCCAGTGTTGCCTAGCTGTTAGTTGTTCAAAACACTGTTTGGGGATATAGAAAACATTGGTAGAAATTTCTTCCGGGATTTCTTCTGTCAGCCATCCTCTGCAGTTATTGAACGTACAAGCGTAGCTAACGCTGTGCTGCCAAATAGCACTTCAAATGAGAAAGAACAATATTTCAGCGGCAGCATAGGGTGGCCTGAACCTATCTATGCTATCAAAAACGCGAAGGGCTGGCTATCTAGTGGTGAATGTGGATTTGGTGACGATGCTTTTGCTCAAAGCAGCGCTGATGCAATAGCCAGCCTGCCATGT